TAGACTAAGGCGTTGAAAATATCATCCTGGCAGGCCATGATGAACCCCTCAGTTTCTGACTTTAGTCCACTTGACCTGAGAAAATCGAAGATCAGTCACTTTGATGAGTCAAGGTTTTCAATGTTGTTAAAGAGGAGTAAAGCGATCTCTGCGTCTCTCATACGAGACTTTTGCTGATCGGAATCCAACTCGATGATCACTTCGTTCAGTCCACTCCACTAATCCAAACGAGTAGGCTAAGATTGGAATGAAAAGTGTATTTGTGGCAGCAACTTTGTTCTTTCCCGACAGTTCCGATGACCAGATCTGTCAAAGTTTGATCTGATACTTTCCACCGAGAGATTTCTTCACTGTTGTTACCTCTCGTGAGTGGCATTGTTCCACCCTGAGGTAGGTATGGGGATACGTCCTTCTTGCATCCAGATGTTGCAAGATGCTTTCATCTATGAGCTGCACATCCTCTCTGTGGTCCCCGCATCGTCATTTTTAGAGATGTACCGTTTCACATTCGTCTATCCTGAATTCAATACCGATAGCATGTTTTTAGGTACTCTTCCACCACCGTCAAGGACTGATGGAGATTCTTTTCTCCAGAGGCATCCATACAAAAATATAAAACCCCTTGTTATACCCTCGGGTATTTCTGAGCGCAACAAATAATGGCAACTGTGAGATGCAGAAAAAAAGAAATGCACCTCTTTTGAAAGTGACTTTTCCTGTTTGGACTCTAGCCTGACCAGATGTTATAGTGAAGCGAGTACGCCAGAGTTGTTGAAGGCACATCACTATTTTCCCGGGTACCGGAAGGCATCCGAGCAAGTTCAAGATGAGCTCATGCGATTATGTTTCAAATGCGTTGCGGTAATCGATCCAGTCCATGGAGAGGTTACGCTTATACTGATCGAGTCCTCGTTACACATCTATGAGTACGTTCTCCTCACAATATTATTTCAAATATTATCATTATTATTATTATGACCTGTCTTTACTATTGTATATTGTGATATTTTTCTTCATTTCCATTCATTTGATTTTCAACATTGAACTTAGTTTCTTCGATGAATTCTGAAGTCTCGAAATCAATGTTCAATGAGCACGAACGTAAATCTTCTGAAAAACGAAACCGTAATCCTTATTTGAATTCAGTATTATCGACGGCAGCCCATTGATTCACCGTGCCGGGAAGGCCGTAAATATGACATAAGTGCGTAATAAGAACGGTATCCGAAGAAGATAATCTCGAACGAAACTGGGGACGCACATAACCGTTCCCAACAGCCGCACTTGCTTTTTGCGGTAGAAGCTGCGGCAAACGAGCAACTAATGGCAGCCTCGCGCGTCTCAACCGAAACACCGTCAGCCGCTAATGTGATATTTATGACTCTTTATCGGAGACTTAAATACCCTTTGGGATGTGTAATGCAGTTGTTATATCTAAAAAGCATGTTTATTCCCTGCACTGTCATCATTCTTTATCGTATGTCGGAATGTTCATTGAAATCATTCGCAATTCAAAGTTTTCATTCTGATTATATTTGTTCTTTCATAGATTTTGAATCACAGTAGAATCATATTAAATAATGAGAGTTCAAACTAACGGAATTTAAAGTATACAGGTTGTTCATGCAGCAAAAATTCAAGAGGTTATTCCCTGAAATATTTCTAGAATATTTTGCCTTCTCGTGATTTTTGAGATATTCCTGTATTTCAAAGATACAAGACGATGAAATGTTAGGACAAAACCAATTTTTAAATGTTTCATTTTCCAATTTAAATACCCAAAATGAGTGTCTTTCATTTCGAAAAATCGACATTTTCTCTGCAAAACTTTTTTTTCATATTTGGTATTTCTTGAAAAATACGCAAAAAATGTTTAATGATTTTATGGTAACGAATGTATCTTCATTTCAAACTTGAATAAACATATTTATTATTATTGTTATTCTTATTATTTTTCCCGATAGTTCAGTTGGTCGTGCCCTTTCTCCGACGCCCCAATATATTCGGGAGAGTGCGCCAGCATCATCAACCAGTGACTTTCCGTAGGCCGAGGTAGTTGATCATTAGATCGGAGAATCATGAGCCCATAACAGACGAAGTATGTGTCACTCACTAGAGTGATCTGGATAGAATCTGCGAGACAAAACCTCGATATTTCACATCCGTTTCTTCTCATACTCTTGGACGATTTTTGTCCCACTCGAAGCTGAAAACTCCACGACGAATATCGTCTTTTTCGTATTCACAAATTCTAAAAGAAGTCAATTCGAAAAATTTTAATAAGTTGGATTTTCTAGAAGATTTACAAATAGACAAAGAATAACACAACAATCCTTTTTGCCTGAATATGCAAGTACAATTAAATAGATCATATATTCTTTTACATAGACGATTAAATCAATCATTTCAAAAATCAACATTTCTCAAAATCCCAATTGAATGTTTCTTTGCTCACTATAGAAAACTTAACGTACTGTGGTCACTAAATATATGATTTGTCAAACCAAATATGTTCTGTAATAGTTGAAGACTTTATGTCAATGTCAAATTTTCACTTCCTTTTCCTCCTCGTACTCTGCACGTTGGAGATGGTTTTCTTTAAAAATATTTTCAAAAATATTCAAACAAAAATATTCACATTTTGTGCAAATGTTTGCTTATTGTGATGTTCATGTTCATGTCCACTCAGAGTGGTTTTTACTAAAGTTGTTGTACCTTAAGAGAGCAGGATCTTGTTGTATATACTTGACGAGTAAGTAATTCTACAATATTAAAAGAATCTAAAGTTCAATCTGAAATCAAAATGGATATCATTGAATATTACTCACTTGCTAGTATCGCACTGATGATGGCGTAACAGCCGGAAGCGCTTTGCAATTTACAAATAAATTTTTTTTTACACGAAATACGATTCCTTTCCTGATTTTTCGAGAAAAACTACATTAGGTTTGTATGAGCCTTAGGGTGGAAAATGAATAGTTTCGATAAATTCAGTACATCTAATTTCCTACAATGGGTTCAGAATCCCCCGAAGCGTAGGACAATACCAGTATGTCGTATAAGTTTTGCATTGCATTTCTGGTGACTGGGAAAAGTGCATGTTTTGAATTTATTCTACACCAGCGGTTTCAGTTTTACCTTTTTTTTGTGTTGTCCATGAATTGTTTTTTTTTGTGACCCAAAGCCGAGCTGTATCTGTCCCTTCGTTGGATTGCTTGTAGTTAAGGTATCTGTTGTACAGACCTAATTTGTTCAGTTATCCTCTCAATGGACCGTTTCACTGGAAACGGTCCATTGCATCGGATAAATTACAGGGCCACTCACTGGAGTAGCCTTGTAATCTACCCGAACCGAATCCTACTTTATTGAAGCAGCACTTCAGTTCTACTTTCAAACGGACACTCTATGAAAGTTTTTCTGTGTATTCCCTAATATGTTCTCCCAACCCTCTCTCTGTTTCTTATTGACCCACTTTCCGATCTATTTGCGTACGAAAGAATTTGGTACCCCCACAGCTAGTTCAGGGCCTGTATATAGGGTTGATGATCTATGTTTACCATACTCATCAGCTTTTCTGATGCCAGCCAGTTTCCCCAGTTCTTCACGGTGTTCCCGGACCAGCCGTGATGTCACTATTGGGTTCGTTAGAGCCCCATGTCCAACCTGGCTGTGTGTGAAATTATTGATCTGCTCATTTCGTTGAGGCCTCAAATAATTGCATACACTTCTGTAACTGAAATGAATATTTCCCCCCGCATATTAAATTCCAGCTCTCGTTCCACTTCCGGTATTTGAATCGTCTGAATACTGGGTGTTTCTACAAAACATGTTCTCAGAATGATTTTTCGTATGTAGTTTAATATTTCATTGAATAATTTCGATAAGAAACGGTGGGTCGATATGGATAATAGTGGGTTTATGAGCTCACCATTTTTTTTCTTTTGAGAACAGCAAACTTCAAAAGTTGAAACTTGTGCTAGCTTAGATTCAATTAGATTTTTTTTTTGAGGATATGAATAATAATCCATTCAAATATTAGTCACTCATCGAATTGATAGACACCTCTGGCATCTTTCCACAGTTAAATGATTTTTTTGCCAACTCGATTCTCATTGATGAACCATCCCCAGGACTCACCTCTTTCTAACAATGAATTCATAGACTTCAATTTTCAAGAAGTGTGGAAGACGTCAGTTATATTTCGACACTAAAATTGCCTACCTATGAAGGTGAAAGTGAATTTGTGTGAATTGTCAGCGGAATTTTTGTTGAAGAAAAACATGTTAATATCTATATTCAATTATGCTAATGTTTTGTATGGTCCATGTTTAACTAACCACCCTTCCGCATATACTTCTTCAGAAGGAGTTTCAGCTACCAGATCTGTGCAATTTATAATGGCAATCCCGAGCCCATGAAACGAAATGATTTCAACCGTTTCAATACCAATTTCATTCGATTCTTACTATCTTCAAACTATTGTCGACCTAATAGCTACCAACCTATTACAAATCTACAAATAGTCATAGTATTTTAAGATAATTTTCCTTTTGTTGTTCATTTCTTTGCGAACTAGGCGACATTTTTGAGGTTGAGTGGAAGAACAATTGAATGATGTCTTGTCATCATGCAAATTGAACTTCACCTTTCTTCTCCATATAACAATTAAATTATACCTGAATAATTTGCTTGAAATATATTCCAAGATGATAAAGATGATATTATTATTATCATTTTTTCTCCCGTAGTATGCGCTGGTCAGGCCCTATCCCCCGAAGCCCTTGTACATTTGGGAGGGCGCGCCAGCATTATCAATCAACGACCAATCATGTGCCCTGACCAAGTGCAGTGAGCCAAGAATTATTATTATTATTCACTTCTACCGGTTATTTCCTGACTTCTCGATAATATCACCTAAGAAAAGTATATTTCGTGAAACTAAAAATCACAGGTCATTCGTATTATATGTTACCTCTGAGGTTAGTGTAAGAAGTTCGTAATAGGGTTTGTATAATTTATTGAGTTGATGTTTCCAGCATAAACGATAGAATGGTACATGAAGAATAACACATTTCAGCAGAGTCCATTAACAATAATTCAAGACGGGTACTTGATAATATTAGAAAGTTTTTCACCAAACATTATACATGCAGCACTAGGGTGACCAGAAATTGTAGTAGGATATACACTTGAGTCTGCAACCCGCAATTTATCGATTCCAAATACTCTAAAGTTAGAATCTACGACTGCTCCTTCTTTTGGATGTTTTCCCATGGGACAACTACCTTTTGAATGATAAGATGGTATGCTTGTCTGTCTGATGAAACAGTACCAATATTCTTTAGATAAATATTCATATTTTTCGCATCCAGGCAAAGAAACACCTGCATATGTTGGATTCAATCTTTGGTATCCTGGCGTGCTCAATAACTTGAGAGCTAACTCCAACCCCTCATACATAACAGCAATATCCGTCGCTTCTGGATCAGACAGAAGATTGAAATCTATCAGAGGAAACTCGTAAGGATCAGAACTTGCAAGTCTAACACTACCCCTAGACAAAGGATTGACATTTAGTATTGTTATTTGTAATGCATTTGTGTTGTTACCCCATGTTGCAGAATATGAATCATTTTTCCATCCAATAGATTTCATTCCAAGTCCTGATTTCGTGGTTTTCACACCAACCAGTTCAATGTCCATGAAAGTGGTGAGGTTATTTATATTTGATTTATAAAAGCCAACACCTTGGGAAGGAAATGTAATCGTTAGGGAACCAACTCCATGAAGATAGTCCTTCACTTGCTCTTCTTGACTTTGGCTAGGTGATTGAAGATTGGAGGTGAATAGAAGAGATTGAGTAGCCACGTCATCTATCAGAGCACTACCGACCTCTAAGTCTTCAATAACGTCAATGCCAACATCAACCAAATGTTCTCTGGGGCCAACACCAGATTGCATGAGAATTTTTGGACTCATGTAAACTCCAGCTGAAAGTATGACCTCTTTTTTGGCTGAAACTCTATACAGTTTACCACCTTCCGTAAAAATGACACCCTCAGCTACTTTTGTTACATTATCGATTACTATTTTAGTGACATAGCTTCCAGTGAGAATTTTCAGATTTTTTCGATGAAGAATAGGCTTCAAGAAGGCAGTAAAAGTATCCTGTCTTCGACCATTCTTTTTATACAGTTGGAACACGGAAGCACCATCTAGACGGGGTCCATTATAATCCAGAATATCATATCCTATTCTCTTATTTGCATCCAAGAAAATCCCTGTTAATTCATCTGGTGGTATCACGTGATCCACGTTGAGATATCCTCCAGTACGATGGTAGCTTTCATTCACAGGAGCCCAACGATTTGAGTAATCGAAATTCTCGGATTTCTTGAACAATTCCAGTACATTTTCATAAGACCAACTTGAATCGTTTAGGATTTCAGCCCAGTTGTCAAATATCTGGGGATCTCCTCGTTGATAAATTACTCCGTTGATTAATGAGGAACCTCCCATACCTTTTCCTTGGGCAGCAGAACATCTCTGTTCAACCATACCTGAAAATAGTTTCTCACTGAAAAATGTTCATTCAGCCTCAAAAAATTGTATTGCCATTGTCAAATATGTTCAACAGCTTCAAAAATACGAATATCAGTTATGGTGATTTCAGTCAAAGCATAGTGTGGCTTAAATAAATCTCAATTTATAATTAATTTACTGTTGAACATACTTTTGATTAATCTTGAAAGGTCATTAAGGAAAATGTTCTTTCTGAACTTAGAAAGTGAACTGTTGAATTGAGTTTTGTATTAGATCAACACCTCTATTGTAGGGGCCGATTGTTTTCATAATATTATGTTTTAAATGATGTAGAAATAAATATCGTGACTGACTCTTTCCTCACCATCGCTATCAATTGAAACAAGTTATTTTACTCTCGAAAAATATCGCAATTGTTTAACTGATCTATCAACTATTTCGAGTGATTATTGATGGAACAACGGATAATATATTGAAAATTCTGCAGTAAATATTACGATCAGAAATAGATTTAGCAAAGTGTTATTAATGTCATGTCATTTTAGACAGAAGATTTGCCAACAGAAAACTGTAGGGTTTAAAATCAATTGATTACTCACAGTGAAAAACCATTCATATTCAAAATAAGAGAAAGATCGAAATCATAATCGGATTCAAATGAAGTGTCATGAACTAATAAAAATTAAAATAGGATCAAAATAGATTTCTAACATTTCATCAGGCCATGTTCACGAAACATTAACAATTTTTTCAGAGCAATCTACTGTGATACTTTTGATTGCTGACTTTGCAGAAAAAGGAGAAGTTGAGAGAAGATGGATTTGATATGAAGTCAAATCAAATCAAATTAAATCAAATCACTTTATTTCTTTAAGACAACATACAGTCGTATAAGAAAGAGTCATGGTTACAACCGCATGGTAGTACGGTCGGGATTTAAATGAAGAAATGCACAAAAGCAACATAACAGTACATTAAGGATTATATAAAACTACGAAGACATGTTCACATATACATATACATAATACACAGAATATTGACTCACAGATTCACATTAAATGAAAATTCAAGTCAAAAGTATTCATTTAAAGAGTATAGACATTTCTCAACCAGGTATTCTTTGAGTTTTTTTTAAAAGTACGTTCATGTTTTAAGCTTTTAATGGAGGTAGGTAAGTTGTTGAAAATCTTTGCGCCGATTGGAGCTGGAGCTTTATAGGAAATTTTGCGTTTAGAGAGTTGTAATCGTAAATCATCCTTACGACGTGTGTTGTATTCGTTGAAATCGTTATTTATGAGAAAAAAATCTTCATTTTTGAACACAAAAATACAGACTTCAAATACGTAGAGGCCTGTACAGGTCAGAATTTCAAATCTTCTGAAGATGTCTCGACAAGAATAGTCTTTTTTCACTCCAGCAATACACCTAATGATTTTTTTCTGTGATACGAGGACATTATCCGACAGTGTAGAGTCTCCCCATAGGCAAATACCATACCTCAGTCGACTTTCCACTTGTGCATAGTATAAGTTTATTAATTGTTGCTGTGTCAAAACAACTTTGAGATTTCTGAACATATAGTGGAGAGATGAAAGTTTGGAAATCAGGACCTTGCAATGTTTTTTCCAATCTGAATGTCAGTCAACGAATAGTCCTGAGAATTTACAGCTGTTATTTATAGGCAGAGGTGTGTTATTCAAAATTATATCTATATCTACCAATTCCCTCTGATGACTATGGAATTTCACAAGGTTAGTTTTGTCTGCATTAAAATAAAGAGTGTTTTGATTGAACCAAGAAGTTAGTTGGCATAGAGCAGTTTCACAGATTTCTTTTAGTTCTATTTGATTTTTGATCAGTAGAGAAGTATCGTCTGCACAAATAGTCATCTCAATATCCGGAAAGGAATTTGAGATTTCATTTATGTACAAAATAAAAAGAACTGGGCCCAAAATAGATCCATGTGGAACACCTATATTAATATCGATATTGGCAGATGTAACATTACGAATTATAATATTTTGATGATGTTTCAGACTCACATACTGAGAACGACATCTAATAAATGATTCTAACCATTCCAGACAAACACCTCTAATACCATAGTTATACAACTTTGATAACAGAATATCGTGGTCCATACAGTCGAAAGCTCGACTCAGGTCACAGAAAATGCCCATTGGGACCTCTCCTTGTTCTATATGGTTTATGAGATTGTCATAGAAATCATAGATTGCGCTAGTTGTTGATTTACCAGGTCGAAAACCGTGCTGGCTATTTGTCAAAATATTATGCTCATTGATATAAAATTCATCAGCCTGTCCAAAAATCCATATTCGAAAACTTTCGAGAAACTACTGCAAATCGTTATTGGTCTATAATTTTCCATGTAATCGGGACAGTGTTTTTTATAAATAGGAATAACTTTCCCTTTCTTGAGGGTTGTGGGGAATTTTCCTGTTTCGAATGAAAGATTTAATAAAAAGGTCAAAGGTTCTATTATAACATTCATAACTTTTTTTTAAACGAATGTGGGTATTTCATCTGGACCTGCGGATGTTTTATTTTTCAGCCTATCACTGAGCAGATTAAATAATTCCTTGGGTGGAAACAGTCTGAGCAATAGAGAAGGTATAAGAATTTCTTGGGTATTGTTTTCTACAGTATTTGACTGGGTGATCTTTTCTTTAAGTTCTAGCGGGACATTTTTAAAAAAGTTATTGAACAGATCTGATACAATAATTGGGTTTTCCACTTTTATATCATTGAAGAACACATTAATTTTTTTGTGTCCTATTTTTTTTATTGTTCATTTCGGATATTACTTTTCAGGCAGTTTTACTCGGATCATCAGAGTTGAGAATATTATTTTGATAGTATTGTTTCTTTTTAGATTCTAAAAGCCGAGAGTGTCGTTTTCGTGCTTCTCTGTAAAAATCAGCCAGCACCGGGTATGTTTTTTTCGATAAATATAGATCCTTCAACTTATAACTAGATATTTTGACATCAATGTCCACCCATTTTTTAACGTTAGGTCTACTACACACCCGTCGTAATGGATAACTAATGTCAAAATAATAGAAGAATATTCCTATGAAAATATCGTATGCATGGTCAATATTATTAATTTGATAAAGTTCATTCCAGTTTTCATTTCGGAGTGTAGTTTCGAAATTCTTGTGAGATTCATCATTATATATTCTTGTATGAAACGTAAAGGAAGTGTCTCGCGTGTTTTGGGTGGTTTCCGAAATTTCATAGAAAATAAATCTGTGGTCAGATATATTATTATCTGAAACAGCAGTGACTCCATTGCTTTGGAAATTAATGAAAATATTATCTATCTAAAGCAACTGAACTTCAAACGTTCAAGCCAGTCTCTATATACCTACACAGTAGGTTTAATGGACTGACGCCTATCAGAAAACAACTACTTCCCTGGCTTGTACCACGAAGGGCGTTGGATTATATCCGACAGGCGTCAGTGCAGGAATCTTCACAGAAAATTTCCTGCATATGCAATGGACAATACAACTGAGAGAGTCGACCTTCAATTATGGAACGGGCACACTTGCAGACCGGTTTCGGGCTTATTAGCCACTCATCAGTGCAAGATAGTGACCATCATCGACCTAAAGTCAATGATATTACACAATTGAAAATCGGAATTCTTTCAGAGTATTTCATTCCTCTTCCGAAGTTGGAGCGAACATCACAAAATGTCACTCGATCTAGTGGACGAGGTACTAATCAACTGCATATCCGTAATTTGCCCGATTCCTCTGAATAAGGAAGGAAAACTTAACATCAAACCCACTGTGTAGGTATATAGAGACTGGCTTGAACGTTTGAAGTTCAGATGCTTTATATTGTTTACTGCCAGTCTTCAAGCATAGCCCACTGACTAATAAGTGTCATTATATAGACCAAGTGGAACTTCTATGAATATTTTCTGGGATCGATTTGAACGATTGTTGATTTTTTTACATAGTCAAAATGAAATTGCATTCATAGCAGGAGATTTCAACTTAAATGAAATGAATAAAAACACTTTCGTCTGAATACCACTGGTAGATTTTATTTATACGACCGGCTTCAGGTTTGATCCCATTATCAAGTATGAAACTAGTTTTATACTTCTAGTTTTATACTTGATAATGGGTTCAAACCCGAAACCGATCATATGAATGAAGTCTACCAGTCGTATTTAGACAAAAGTGTGTTTATTAAATGTTCATTGAATATACCAGAATCACAACCAAAACAAAGAGCTGTGGCGATAATATTTCCACTAACTACCACGGAAAATATGAAACTAATGTAGTCGAAAACCATGTATCGGACCATACTGCCCAAATAATCAGTTTCTATATAGACCATCAGAATAAAAGCCAATATCAATCACGCAGATTCTTTAACGAAACTAATACGAAGAAATACATCTAGCGAAAAGGAGAGGGGAGTCCAATATAGTACCTTCTACTCATGATAAATGAACTTTACTTTGAAAGAGCAGTGTTCAGTTTGTGAAAAAACACGGGAACGTGTTTTTTCATCATAAAGATGAAGAAGTAGGAAGCTAAAACATTTCTTTTACAAAAAACTGATCTCTCCTGAAAATACACCCCTTTCAATTCAAACAATATTCCTGTGGCTGGTATTTAATCAAATAAGCGAAAAAATATCATTAGGATGTCATTGATGACATGAGTAGATCAAACTCATTCCGTGACATACAGTCGTAATGTTATGAATGAATTGGGTGTTCTTTCGTATGTTTTCCAGATTTAGCACTGAATAGCCGATAAGGCAAGTGTCTTACTGCGAAACATCGATTGCCTACTAGTCAGGATGTCAGTGTTCCGTGTGGGTGGAATTTTACCTCTTCCATTTACTATACTGTGTAGCAATCCTGTGAATGATATCTGTATCAATTCCATAACAAATATTCAGAATACAAACTGAATAGAGAAAAGTGTTCATATGAAAGTAGCTATTTCTAGAGGGCTTTATCTTCCAGTTTATGTCTGAAAGTTACTTCTTTAGATGCTTTACACAACTTTGTATACAGATACCTTTTTGAAATTGATTGCTTCCTTTCTTCCTTTGGAAGATACTCATATTCATTTGTATGAAAATGGAAAAGTAAAAAGCCAAAACAATGAATATTTTTTGCAAATTAAGAGGAATATTCTCAGAAGAGATTATTATTTTTGGAAAGGAAGGTTTTGGCTTACTTATTCCCTATCTTCCAAAGAAATGAAGAAAGTGAACAATTTTAGAAAACTCAACTCTATACGAAGATGTGTAGATCATGGAAAGAAGTAACTTTCAGACACAAACTGGAAGACCTCTCGAAACAGGTACTTACATATAAACACTTAATTATGAGAAAGAGAAATACTTTCGAAACAAATACTGATTCTGATATGAACAGAAAGCTTGGATGTTCACAAATAAAAAAAAGTTTGTATTTTTTCAGAAAATTCATTAGAGTAAAGCCTTTTTCAACTTTATTCAAAGAATTGGAAAACATTCTACGGAAAAAAGATATATCAGATATAACAGTTAACATAATGCATCTAAATGAAAAACAACTACAATTGAAGAAAAATAAACTCACATACTTCTTCTCAAATCCAAACTCTTGCCGTCATATGTAAGTATAGGAAATGACTTATTTGTTTTTTTTTGGTTACTTAGAAATATTTCTTACCAAGGCATGCTGTTGTTTGTGGAATACTTTTGAAACCCCAGTTGTATTCAGATAAAATGGTTTTGAAAACACTGCTTGGCATTTCAGTGAAGTCATTTCCAAATTTTCCAGCTTCCAGTAGAAGAATATTCCACTCTGCAACTTCTGATAATCTACTTGCGATAACACATCCAGTTGTTCCTCCCCCTATTATGACAAAGTCATATTTTCCAATATCTAAAATAAACATTCAACAGTGAATATCAATAATAAAAGTAGGGTCTGCTTTACCGACTGATGGAATTTTGCACAATATTACAGTATTTATTGCAATATATTCCTAAACAGTTTGATTTCGTACAATATATAGCACAATCTTTCAATCTGTTTTTCTCGCCATCACTGTGTTGCACAAACTTAAATTCAGATAGATAGATAGACATATACTTTATTGTCCAAGAAAATACATTATTATTAGAAATCAAACGTTGAAAGGTAAGACCTCGTTAGTCCTTAGCTCAACAAGTTTCTCAACTTCTGAGAGTCGTCGTTCGTATGGGGGCGACAGCTGATTAACGGAAAAACAGATTTCAAACAGAACAGATTCCAAACTGATTTTATTAACAAAGTTCGTTTAAAAATCTGGTATGTATAGCACTTCAAATAATAAAGGAAAAGAAACAATTCAAAAACAGAAATACCCAGGAACACAATCTGAGCAAAACTAAGTTCACATATCTAATAGATAAAATATAACAATGAAAAATCAACTTTAACAAAGTTTGTAGACAAAATAGTATGTATAGTCCCTTTCAAAAAATGTAAAAAACCAATATACACAATTTGAACATAAGTTCACATGTCATTGCAATAAAATAAAAAATATTCCAATATGAAATATAATTCAAAGTATAGGTGTTCCATTATAATATTCATCAAGATTGTAGTACGCTTTTGTTACAAGGGCATCTATAACAAGATTACTGAACTTTTTATAGCTTTTTTCCTTCCTAATTTTGTGACGTATGTGGTTATACAGTTTTTACTTTCATAAATTAAAGAATACTTTGTCTGACTTGTTTTTGGAACAGGAAGATGTATTTTATTTTCTGTTACCTGCCGGGTAATGTAATTAATATGTTCCAGAATTCCAACCATATTATGTTTTTTGTAAACCAGGCAAACAGTTTCCAGTATGAAAATTCAAGTTACTGTGGAAATTTTTTCTCACAAAAATAATGGACTGCATGACATACGCACTCCCACCTTGCATAAGTATCTAACCGCTCGCTTTTGCAAAACAAACACTGAATGAAAAAGTTGTTGACTGCAAAATCCCTAGAAAGCAACACCATATCTCAGGTGGGACTCAATCTGGGACTTATAATATATAATTTTTGTTGTGGATGAACTCAGTTCATTTGAAACTATTCAAAGTGCGTAACATCCGGATGTCAATTTTTTATCCAAAGCTGAACTATGTTGATAAGATTTTAATTCGTTAGCCATGAAGCTTCCCAGGAATTTGTCCATTCAAGTATGAATTGTTAATATTACAGCTGAAGGTGAGTAGCTTAGTTTTTTAATATTAAAGCACAAGCAGTTTACGTCACACTATTTTTTCACAACTTTTTGATCAATAATGAAAATAATGATATCGTCTTCATTATCTTCTGATACATTTAAAGTAAATTAATCAGGAACATATTATGGAGATAAAAGGTGAAGTTCAATTTACATGATGACAAGTCATCATTCAATTGCAATAGAAATAGTTTGTTTCCATGTCAAAGGAGCATTGTGTCATCCGCAAATATCGTAAAAATCCCTTGAATTGAGAGAGTAAAAAGGTCATTTACATATATAAAGGAAAGAATCGGACCCAGTACTGATCCTTGTGGAACGCCTTATAAGATATCCCCAGTGTGTGATAGTTTTTCGTTTTATCTTACGAACTGTTTTTCATCACTCAAATAAGACCAGTCATTACACACTCCTCTAAAGCCATAGTAGGTAAACTTCTGCAAAAGAAGTTTATGATTTACACAATCAAAAGCTTTGATTGTGTACATCACCATTGTTGAGATGTGTATAGACATGTTCAAGAAAGAAAACGATTGCATTATTTATACCTTTTTGCCTTCTGAAAGACTAATTGACAGTTGGTTATTATATTGTATTTATAAAGAAAAGGTAATACCCTTTTTTCACCATTTTTTCTATGATTTTTGAGAGTGTTGAGAGCATGGAGATAGGTCTGAAGTTGGATCTTCCTCAATAGGTTACTATTGACCGTATATCATAATCTCAAAAATATTCAGAAATGGATCTGTGGAAAATATCATCAAACTGGTAATGGTTGACAGTTTCAGAACCCAACTGAATGAGACAACCTCCCGATTTTTATAAATATTAAAATAATTTGTGCATTATAAGATAATGTACAATCATGAAGGGTACTTAAAGTACTCGAATGGTTCGAAGAATATTTTCAATGTATAGTCGAAGAGTGTATTAAAAAGAATAGCACACTCATTAGTGGATATTAAAGTAAACAACGATGGAAAGCATGACTCAATACTTTTTTTTCAATAACTTAAATGAGAATACTAAGTCGTCCAAACAAATAATTCGCTGTTAACAAATGCTTTCACCCCTGAGTAAAAATATAACAAAGTTGAAGATATACCCACAGAAGATCTGACGTTGAAAAACTGTTTCAGAATAATTTTCAACTTTATATTATCTCTGAATTATTCAGAACGAATCGTTTCAGAGTCAACATTGAATATAATAAACACGAATATCTACAAGAAACTTCCAATGTTACCTGTTATTCCATCATCCAATGGCCTATGAGCATTCGCACTGGTCGGCAGTTCATATGTAGAAGCATTTTGCAGGGACTGTGTTATGATGTTGGATAAGTTTTGGATCGTTTCTGTGAAAAAAATATTAAATCTGAATTAGATTGAAAATTTTAATACAAAATAGAAATTGTCACTCATCACGAAATACGTTGAAATGTTTTCACCCAACAAGTTCAGTATTTATTAAAAAAAAACATAGACACGTGTTTCGGGCTTTTGGCCCGAAGGATGGGCAACAAGAAGCCAGCCGCACATTTGTGGTATGGTTGATAGATCTTGTGTTTACAAGAAAATATTAAAATCACCATGTAAGCAGCTATGGCTGCTACCTGCGTGACATCCGGTCCAAGAAATTATACAAATATGAAGTTTATTGAGTGTCTTGATCCATTCTTACACTTGACTTCACCATACCATACACGAAACAGGTGTCTATGGTATTCGTCCCAATTTCTTGATTGGTATGTCCGATTCTATACAGCGTGACTCACGGTCGATGGTAGGTTAGACGTTTCTGGAAAACGCAAAGCATAATTTTTCTGAAAATTCCACCTCTCACATTTCCTTACCTGTTCTATCGATCTAAAATATTTTCAGCAATGCGGCGTTGCCACTTCCATCAAAAAGTCCTATAAACTTAATTTTTTTAAATGGAACATCCTGTATATTAATACATTTTTGGAATCGCTCTGATATTTTAATACTTTTTTGTTGATGATGTCCTATCTATCTGTTTTCGAGATGAAAAATAGATTGTGCTAAATATGGTCCAAAACATAGCCTTGATTGAAATTAAAACAAACTCGAAATATTCAAATAACACCAAGAAATCGACTCCATATCATACAGGGCGTGCTAAAATTACTGTTATTTCCATTGTGCATAAAAGTAGTCGAAAGTTCATTTTTTCAAATGAAACCCCCTGTATATTACTCGGTAAATTGAAAGATGGTGAAAAATGCTTCAAGATGATATACATGTCCCTATACCTGAATCGTCAAGTTTTCTTAATTAATACGTTTTTGTGGAAAAATAGTTATTCACGTTTTACCTACAAGTGTTGAAAGTGGCATTTTATTTTGTGAGTGGGGATTATCGCAAAACGAGCGTCAGCAAGTGGAGCAAAATCACGAGCAAAATTAAATCACTTTTAACAAATGTGTCAAACAAATTTTTTTGTATAACGTATTCAAACGAAGTTCTTATGAAGTTATTTATTATACACATGAACAAAGTGATCAAATCATTGTCAGAATTCAACCAAATGTATCCTGAATTAACACCAATGAACGATAGGAAGTTTGTAAGGTTACAAAATAATTTCCTTAACTATGGCTCAAAGTTTCCAGGGAAGAACTGTACCAAAAATCAGTCATTTCTAGGTAAAAAATTAAGATTTTGTGGCCTAAAACGTGTGAAAGTACAGACAATACCAGAATAGGATGATTCAAAATAACAAAATTGTAAACTGAATACCTTATTTTCACAATAAATGCTGAAAATTTTGTCCATCAAATTCAGAAACACTTTAAAATGTTTTTTTGTACGCGACTTGTGGTTGCTTTTTCAATTTCCTGGGGATCCAGATCTTCAATACTCCGCACTATTCGCCGTCGCAATTCTTCTCTGGTAGGCACTGCACTACAGTATACCCTTTCTTTTGAAACACCACATAAAAAAAGTCAAGTGGCGTGAGATCGGGTGATCTCGGTGGCCAATCCCACGGCCCTAAACGCCTTAACCAACGATCGTCGAAGAGTTCGTCAAGTTTCCTGGAAACTTCCTGGGTGGAATGAGCTGGCGCTCTGTCCAGTTGAAACCACGAATTCCTATATTCCTCTACAGGCAAATTTTCAAGAAAATCAGTTACAGTCGTTCTTAATATTTGGTGATATCTCTCTGCATTCAGTGTGTCTTCATAAATAAAAAAGGTAATTTTATTGTTCTTCAGAATACAGAAAACTTTCAGGTCAATTTTCTCTTGAAAACCCATTTCTTCTGTAACATGAGGATTATGATCAGCCCAAAAATGTTTATTCCTTCTATTGAAAATACTATCCCTCATAAATTTTGATTCGTCGCTCCAAATTATTTTTGACAAAAATTCCAGATCTTCCTATGTATGAATCAAAAGGGATTCACAAAAATGCATTCTACGTTCGAAGTCTTCTGCTTTTAGAGCTTGAACTTTGGTAAATTTATACTGATGCATTCCGTGATTTTTCAAAATTTGTTGTACTGAAGCATGTGATACACCTAAATCTTTTTCTGCACTGCGAATGGAAGCTTCTGGATATGCATAAAAATATGCCAAAACGTTAACAGTATTGGCCTCATTTGAAGTAACAGGTTTTGGTAATGTTGAAGACGCTTTTAACATGGAGCCATAGTTAAGGAAATTATTTTTTAATCTTACAAACTTCCTCTCGTTCATAGGTGTTGATTCGGGATACATTTGGTTGAATTCTCTACAAGTTCTGGCAATGATTTGATCACACTGTCCGTGTATAATAAATAATTTCATAAGAATTTCGTTTGAATAATCAATATTTGCATTCATTTTTGGCGATTTTTTGAAACACCGTCAATAACATTTTATCAATTACTTATAAAAGTCACCACACTGTCATAAGCTTGATATTTCCACGGCTACCTAGAAATCAAATTCTTCAAAAATTATTTTTTGTACAACTGTTATTGAAAATCTCTTCAATCAGAACACCTACCAAAAATCATCCAGAAAAGTTCACACATGCAGTTCGTGCTATTGGTAATATTAAATTCCTGTGAAGTTACTGACGATGACGAAGTAGTATTCAGTCCAACTGTAGAAAGTCCTCCATGACTAACCAATAATCCTCCTTAAAATAACGTGAGTTGGCGTATGTAGTTGTAACATACGCCTTGTAATCCAAAGATAGTGTGTTCAAATCCCATGAACCCTATAATTTTTTTTATTATCAGCAGTAACGTTATACAAAAAAATTTGTATGACACATTTGTTAGAAGTGATTTAATTTTGCTCGTGAGTTTGCTCCACTTGCTGATGCTCGTTTTGCGATAATCCCCACTCACAAAATAAAATGCCACTTTCAACACTTGTAGGTAAAACGTGAATAACTATTTTTCCACAAAAACGGCTTTATTAAGAAAACTCGACGATTTAGGTATAGGGACATGTATATCATCTTGAAGCATTTTTCACCATCTTTCAATTTATCGAGTAATATACAGGGGGTTTCATTTGAAAAAATAAACTTTCGATCACTTTTATGCACAATGGAAATAATAGTAATTTCAGCACGCCCTGTATGATATTTAGTCGAGTTCTTGGTGTTATTTGAATATTTCGAGTTTGTTCAAAGTATCATCAAAATATCAACTTTTCATGAATTGAGAGTAGGTAATGATGTACTTGATTCCAATTAAGGCTATGTTTTGGACCATATTCAGCACAATTTATTTTTTATCTCGAAAACAGATAGAGATAGGTATAGGACATTATTAACAAAAAAGTTTTGAAATACCAGAGCGATTCCAAAAATGTATTAATATACATTTAAAAAAATGAAGTTGCTAAGACTTAGGTTTAATGAAGCGAAAATCAGATAAGCCCCATTTTTAAAGTGTTTTCTTTCACAGCTTGATTTATAAGTGACTTACGAACTTTATCAAGTAGGTACTCGTATATCTCCTAATCTTAATCGTAATCTTATGTACACTGAATCTTCAACAGAACAAATCACAAGGACAAATATCCTCGTGTGAGTAACCTGTTCCAAAAAAAATGTTTCAACTTTTCCCTAAATTCAGTTTCAACTAGATAACTTTTTTTTTTTCATTCATTCCATATTCATCGTCAATTATGCCACTAAAATTGAGGTCGTAAGTCACTACTACATCAATCAATTGAATTACATGAACTCGATATACAAATATATTGAGAAGGAAATTTTCAACAACTTCAGGTACATAATGACAATAATAGTGACATTATTTCCATCCAATCCACATCCAATATCAGAAAATACAGAATTAAAGAAAGTAAACAAATTGATCCTAAAATCAATAAACATGTAATAAAACCCGGGAAAATCTCAAAAAAATGTTGTCTTTACAATCCATTTCATTGTGCAAAACTTTATAAAGGAATGTTATAGCCCACAGTTTTCGACGCAATTCTAAAGAGTCGTATGAATCCATTTCAAGTAGTATATTGTACTCAAATCGTCGGGATATTGAAACAAATATTTCAAAAATCTCCGTTGAACATATTCTATCCTCTTTTGTGTACTGGTGAAAAGGCGATCAAATCAAGCTACTATACTCTAGTATGAACGGTTTTCGTACACCATTCGGTTGCCAAATCAAGCACATTATGTTCTCTGAACAAATGTGGGAATCTTTCACAGAGTTTATTTTGAAATCAATTGCTTTCTTTCTTTCTATGGAATATTCCCATAATTTTTTTATAGAGATGAAGAAGTAGAAAACCAAAACCTTTCTTTCCCAAAACTTCGTCTCCCCTAATATATAACTATCAATTTGAACAAAATTCCTATATCTGAGATTGATTCAAAATGCGAATGAATGCCATTACGTACTGTCATCGATGATATGCGAATATTTAACTTATTTGTGGCATAACTCCGGGATTTTATGAATGGATGGAGTGCTTTTTCTTTAATGTTATCTAGATTGGTGCTAAAGAGGCAGTAAAACAAGTGTCTCATCGTGAAATATAGATGTTCGCCATTGAGGAGGACATCTATTGGAATTTTATCAAATATATCATACTATGAAATAGTAGAGGAATTATCATTGAAGTGACAATATGGTAATGAAAACAAAATCGTGTTTGAAAGCATTTCAATGTAATAATTTTATTAAAGCTACAGGGAACAGTTATGAAATAATCTTGAAATAGTTTATATAAAACACTTTTATTGCCTACAACTGTATTATATCCACGGCTAATCTGATATAAACAATTAGCATTTTGGAAGTAATTATAAAATACCAACAAAATAAAACTGTTGCAGCACCATGAAAGTATAAAACAATTTTGCTGGTTGGGTGTTCCATGTAAGTTCAGTGAAATATTACGATATTGTGTAGCAATCCCGTAAATGATATCCGAATGAATTCCATAACGAATATTTGGATCACAAACCAAATAGAAGAAAGTGTTTTTTGTATTATTCAATGTATTTGCTTCGAAAGTTTTTTTTTGTGCAATTTTATGTCTGAAAGTAACTGATTCGGATGATCTACACATCTACAAAGAGTTTATTTTGAAAGTAATTGCTTTTTTCCTTTCTTTGAAAGATTTCCACATTTTTTGTATAGAGATGGAGAAGTGTAAAGCAAAAACCTTTCTTCCTCAAAAATCAATATCTCCTAATAAATACCCCTTTGAATATACATATACAATCATAATGTAGTATAGTTCGGATTAGGAACCCTTGCATACAATAATTCATAATGATGTCAACGTAATTAGAAAATGCTGTAATTCAAATAATCTTTCAATGTCTCGATGACCAATGTTGCCGCTTTCAAAAAGCAGATTGAAAATATTTCACTAGAAGAGTCAATTGAGAACAAACGTCATACAAAATGCATGGAGTTACACACTGATGGCAGACTGAATTTCGATAATCATATTGAGGCTCTCAAAAACAAATTAGCATCTGGATATTCTGCCGTTCGTGTGATATACATTGAAATCGGACTGTCCAACACAAATATGGTTTATCATTCATTAATCAAATCTCACCTGCGTTATGACATTGCCTTCTGGAGAGTTAGTAATATATATGAAGTATGCCAATTATTTGGATGAACAAAGTATACTGTGGTGGATGGCGACTAAGTTTGGCTGCGCCTCGTGAATCGTGATATGCCGCGTCAAAACGGTCGACCAGAGAGATATTTTGAATTAGATATAATTTCTTGCAGAATCCCTACAGGGGTATCGCGAAACCTTAAGGTTCCGCGGAACACACTTGCAGTATGGCTGCTTTAACATATGTTACTTTTACAAAAACAAAGTTTTCATCTAATATTTGTAACAAACACAAATTTATTCAGTTTTAAAGTGAATACCCAAAATCATCTGGAATAAAAGTGAATTAGGGTAATGAAGACGCAGATTTACTTATTGTCAATACCGCATAGACTTGAAGAATACAGTGAAAATTATGTTGCAGTTGATGGCAACGACATTGATCAACTGGTTTTGTTGATTGGTCTGACATTAACAGATGACAACATTTCATTTTATAGACTAGCCAGTTCGAAATAATCTAATAATAAATTATACTCCGGTTTTCAAAATGTTAGAAAAAAAGGAACAAGCACGAGCATTATTAGAAGATTTTATTAATCCTAGTACCAGTGAAGAATATTTATGAAATGTTACAACTTAATTTATATTTTATTCATATCGATATCATACATATTCAAAAAACACTATTGTGAAATTTTGAGTAAACGATTTTACAAAAACGCAACACGTGTTTCGCCATGCAATGGCTTCTTCGGGCGATTGTTATCAAGTATATTATAAATATATTATAAACTTTTTGTTACTTCAATTAAGCAAGTTACCACCAACATCTTTAGCATTGTTCAATATGCTAAACAAATTTTCTATTAAATTGAAAACTGGAGTGAATTTAACTTTCAGCTCGAGCAATTGGGTTGGAAACGCCTAAATATGTTAATGATTCCAATCATCACAACCGGTAAACCTACGCCTGGAGAATTTTTAAAACTGGTAATTTGCGAAATATTATCATTTCATTATTCAAATCTGGATTTTTCATTGTCATTTTTTGGTTGGAAGCTTGTTTGTGTTGTCAACAAGTCTGCCATACTTGCAGTGGAATTACGATCTATTAGCCGATACTTCGGCAAATGATAATTGTATGGCATAAGTTCAAAGTTCTATCGATCATTGTAGATGTGAAGAAAATCTAAACGACCAAGATACGTCAGACCTTGAACATGACGATACAATATGTAACAAATCAACAGAATCAGAAGTCGCTGATTATTCATGATATTCCGCACAACGCTGAACCTCATGAGGATTCCGAAGACGAAAGAGTTCTTAATCATAATGATGTTTCATATTGAAGATTATTTTTCACCTAAATAATATCAGGAAACAAAATGAAGGCATTTAATTAACTATATGGACCATTAATGAAAGTTTTGCTATTTTCAAGCTAAAAGTATTCGAAAATATACTTACAACAGCATGTCTTATGTAAAAATGGTAAAAAATGGCATATAAATTAATTTTGGTGAAAAAAAATGTAAACATAAATGTTTATAATTTTCGAATGAATCAATAAAATACATCCCTGAGATTATTCGTTACACTTTGTAGATATGATTCATAAAAAAAAGTTGAAAAATTCACATTTTTCGATTTTTGGTATTTTTTTCATGCCGAAGTGCTGAGCTATAAATTTCAATCGTTTATTGCAAATATCTTGGTTTCTACTGCAAATACGTCAAAAGTGGTTCAGGATGATGTTATAAAAAGTTTCAATTCCTACATTTTCTGCATATTTCAAGTTATTTTTCAAATTATCGCGTGATTTTTGGGGCAGTTTTCGATTGTTTGCCACCCCTCAAATGAATTCACCATTTTATTGGACTATAAAAACAATGTAACATAACATTCTTACCGGTTTCATTATCACTTACAACTGCCCGGCAAATTATTGGAAGAGAAAATATAAAAATGAGTAATGGCCACTGCATTGCATTGAAGTTGCCAATTTTGCTCATAACAACTGAGTAAATGTTTGACTTCAAAACTGTGTATTTAAGGAAGGTGTCTTGAGCACGTCGATAAGATAGGATAATTATTATATGTTACATTATATTGTCACTTGGTATGATAAAACCTTTTTCAAATGGAATTTAAAGCCTTCATTAAACTTACATAAATAATTCATGAGCTATTTTTCGACATAATTCGGCATACAGAGGCGATAAAAAATTTTCGTATAATGATTATGGTATTAATTTTCAAATACGAAGGAAAAGTGCAAAATACAAGTACAAATAAATATCTAGAAAATATTATGAATCCCTATCGAATGTCAAAACTTTTCATCGATTCTGAATAATTTTAAAACAATTCCTATTTATGCTAATGATGATACAAAAAATATCGAAAATTACACGGGAATTTCCATCTTGGATCATATATCGAAAATATTGGAAAAGGGCATGTGTATCCGACTTAATTACTTCATGAATAAATTATAACTATATACTCAATGTCAATATTATACTTTCGTTGATGACTCAGTATGGAAACTACTACATCTGACCTTGTACAGTACATCTTTGACCAACTTGATGCTTACAGTAGTATAGTAGAATATTTTCCAACTTGTCCCGAGGTTTTCAAACCATCAATTTCGAAATACTCAGAACTAGTTTATATTCGTTTGGTATAAGGGGCCAGGCCAAAGACTGCTGGATATCATTCACGAAAGAATGAAACATGATAGTGAACTTGATGGGTACTGGTCTGAAGGGAATGAAATAGAGCTTGGAACTCCTTAGCGGAGCATTCTACGACCACATTTGTTTCTGTTGTATGTGAATAGTTTTGCCAACAACAATAAGGGGAAAGTGTTATAAACAATGATCGCGATCGAAGGATACACAGCTAAGGAAATTATATCGAGAGCTAAAAATGTTATCGTGGTGCTCATCCAATCATTTCTTGATAAATATTACTGAAGCAAAAATAATTGAGGATATACTGAAACAATAGAAGAGATAAATGATAATGACCACGTTCGAATGCAGCAACTTTGTTTTTAGGAAATGGTTTTGTTTCAAAAGTTTAGTAGACCGAGCAAATCGACGCAGTAGGCTTAGAAAGCACACTATGCTATCAATGCCCTAAAATACACCCTATACTAGTCAGACGTTCACTCATTGGTGTTCACTAAGCAATAGTATATTTAATATTGAGTTATGGTATTATTCCTTGGCCAACGAAGAGGAAACTTTCAGACAACAAAAAAAAATGTTTAGAGTAATTGTTAATCCCGAGTATGAATCCTTTAAAAAACACGACTTATCAAACTGGTGACATGACTGAAACTTCAGTAGTTTTGGTCATCTCCTATTGTGTAAATAACTATGTGTAAAAAAATTGTGGTCGCCGGCTTTCTCGAAGTATTTTGAATTCCATAAATATGATAATAAACCAATGAAAATATGCTATTCCTTAAAAATGACATAATGAACATGTGAGTTTTGTTTTGCTGTAAAAGTGGGCATGAACTCACCCAGCCTCCTATCAAATAGCTGAATACGAAACCAATATGGATATTCTCCAGAATTCACTTGATGAACTGTGAGGGATAAGATCAACGTTAATGCAGTCTACATTTCAAGTAAAGAGAGGCCGATTCTTTGTTGCCGTATATAGGTGTTATCCATGCTGACAGTTCACGATTGTTGATGGAGTCTGAGTGCCTGAGTCTTCGACAGGTGGAAATCAATTTGATTAGGTAAACTGTGAATGACCATTTACCAATTTGATTATCTGAAAGGAGAATTCTTTCAGACCATGTCTCAAATTACCTACACTGGAGGTTAATGGACTGACCCCTATCAGAAAACAATTACTCCCCTGGCTGATACCAGGAAGGGCGTTGGATTATATCCGAACAGGAGTCAGTGCAGAATTTTTCACTGAAGTTATTCCTGCGTATGCTGTTGGCGATACAACTGCCGGAATCGAGTTTCAATCATTAGAACACACTTGCAGACCGGTTTTGGGCTGTTTGGCTACTCATCAGTGCAACATAACAACAAAATTCATGAGGAAGATCGCAAAAAAGCAATTCTACTCAATACGTTAAATGAAGATGCTTATGTGTTGGTGCGTGATTTGTGTGTACCTTATTTGCCAGACACAAAAACCTATAAGGTACTCGTACTTTTCCGAGAGAATAAAATTTCGTACAGCAAAGCGGGACTCTTATGGAAGTTTAGCAGATTGGGAGCCGAGGATAAAATGTTTAGCTTTGTAAATTCAGTGCCGACATGTGGGATATACTCATGAGAGACATTTTCGTTCTGGGAATGAACGACACAAAAATATTGGACAAATTGGGTGAAGAGGATGCCTCCGACGCTACAGTGACTAAAAAAGTCAGCGCTCCAAAAGCATCATGTCAGAGAAACGTCAATGTAAGAACGGAGCCGGTAAACTTCGACAAGCAACGTCATTTCAGAAAAAGGCCTGGAAAATTTTCGACTAACCAGAGGCGATCCGAGGTAGGAACATTTATACAAGGGGGAAAGGACACCTGCAGGATCCGTCAAATGGTAAGCAGCAAGAATTCTCAGCAACAACGGTCAAGTTAGCGTTTTTTATGCAGCAGAACAAATCATTCAGCAAGTGCTTGTGTTTATGAGAATTGCAATTTTCACAAATGTGGCAAAAAAGGGTATTTGGGCACCGTGTTACGAATCACACGTTGGAAGGTAAGACCTCGTTAGTCCTTATCTCGCACAAGTTTCGACTTCTGAGGGTTGTCGTTCGTAGGGCTGCGACAGCTGGTTAACGGAAAAACAGATTTTGGACATAAACAGAAAGCAATAAATATTCACTCAATTTCATAACTGAAAGTGAACATACAAGTAGAGTGATAGATAATAGTTCACAAACTGAATCAATTTTTGATTTAAGTTCTCAGAATAAAGTTGTTGATAGCCAGGCTGATATAAAACCAATTTATGTCAAATTAATTTCTATTATCTTCGAAGTGGATTTTGGTTTTGCACAATCTGCTATTTCAGAGAATTTATATTTGAAATATTCCAAAAACATTCCTTTGAATAACAATGATTTATGTTTAAGGGATAACGTTGGTATGACATTTGGACCATTAGGCTATGCAAATTTCGAAGTTATATTTGAAGGTAATCCGTATGTTCTCAAAAACGATGTTATACGAAACGGTCGTAATGCATTAAATATGTTGAATTTTGGTTTATGTTAATTACAATTGGTTGAGTGTGAACCTATAGACAATGAAATTGAAGAAATTAATAACACAATTAAAAACCTTTTGAAAAAGTATTATGAAATTTTTGAAAATAAACTAGGAACTTTAAATAAAGAATTGATGGATGTAGCCCTTACCACGTGGTAGGAAATCATGATGAAGAAAAGAGAAATGAGACTTTCTATGTTTTTACCACTTTCATTTGTAACTAACGTTACTGCAGTTTCGTCTTATACGGACATTTTCAAACTCATACAATAAACAAACAATGATTCATTACATTAGCCATTATATACCACCCCTGTAAGTAGGTACTAACAAAGGTATATACTTGGCTTGATTGAGTACCTGAATTTACAGTTTACAATGCGGATCTGTCAATTTAAAAACCAGCGAGTAAACTAAATCGAATTGATCATTTAACAGGTTGCACCCGAAATGTTTATGCTTGTGAATTTCCAAGAGTTCTGAATATTTGAGTTTGTAACCCTTCCTTGCATAGTGCAAAATTTCCGTATCGCTTATATTCGGAAATTTGTGGTTGGCATGCCAAGGAATGGTTTGAAAACGTCGAATCGTTTTTCCTAGTCTGAAGGACCTTTCATGTTCAGCATACCGTTTTTGGAAATTTCGGCTACATTGTCCTACATAAACACTATTACACTCCGGACACTTAAGCTTATAAACTCCAGATTTTTTCAGCTTGTCCACCTTATCTTTGGCATTGAAAAAAAAAAGAGATAACCTAGCATGTGGTCTGAATGCCACTTCCACATTGTTTTTTCTGAAGAAACCCGCAATTATCTCTGTTGTTTTTTCAAAATATGCAAGCGTTACCCATTCTTTGTTACCCATTTCTCGTTGATTGACCTGAGGGTATATTAATCTCTAAGTGAATTTTCGGCTTTGTTTCCTGACTAACTTCTGCATAGTATCTGCGTTGAAACCATTATTATGACCTATCTGTGTAATTATATGAATTCCCTAGCTAGATTGTTAGCAGACAAAGGTAGTGAGAATGCTCTGTGCAACATTGAATTGTATGCTGCTCATTTATGACTGTCTGGATGGAAAGAATCGCTTGGGATTGTGATGTCTATATAGCTAGGTTTTCTGAAAACATTGAACTCAAATTTATTCTGATTGTGTGTAATGGTCAGGTCTAAGAAATGGATCTGTTTCTCTATCTCTGTTTCGAGTGTGAACTGATTGTTGCTATTGAGATTATTTATGAATGTCATAAATTGGTTCAGCTGTCGTGCAGTACCTCTGAAACAGGCAAGAATATCGTCTACATATCTGTACCAGGTCGGAATTTACTATAGTGGTCGGAAGAATACGATACAGCAATCGAAAGAGCAAAGAAAATTATCATGTCTGCTCTGGTTTTGGCTCATTTTGACCCTGGTCGAACTATCAAACTGACAGTTGATGCGTCTCAATTTGCCTAAACTCTATCATAATCCTCAAAGCTTTCCCTTTTTCTTTCCTTGAAATTACTTATTTCCAATTTTTTTCCTGCTGATAGTATGTGGAATTGATGGCAACAATAAATCGAATCTGCATCGCAATTGACGTCCTAGCAACAATTTTGCAGGAGTTTCTCCTGTTGTTGATTGCGGTGTCTTTCTGTAATGAAGCAAGAATCGGTTTATTATCAGATTGAAATCTTATTATCATTTTTACTGTCGTGTGTCGCTTTCAAAATTGCTTTTTTCATTATTTTTACAGCAATCTCCGCTTGTCCATTAGTGGCAA